GTGCAGCCAGAGCCGTGCAGCCGAAGCAGCTCTTCCCAGACGTCTTGGGCAGGAGGCTTCACCTTTCTGTGCCTTAGTTTCCTCCCCTGCCAAATGGGGATAACCCCTCCAGGGGCTGCTCTGAGAATTTAATAGGTGGTTTCCTCAGGATGAAGCTGACTGTGGTGATGGTTCGTCTCTCACGTGAAGTGCTGTTGTCCCAGCTCTGTAAGATTCGTGTCCTCACCTTTTTCTGTGGGTGAAGAGGGAACCAGACAGGTTAAAATAGCCACCAGAGCGTGGCCGCCGAGTTCATTTTGACTCAATGGCGGCCGTGCGTATCAGGGTTCGACTGTGCTGCCCAGGGTTTGCACTGGCTGATCTTTTTCAGAACTAGATGTCCTGGCCTTTCTTCCACGCTGCCTCTGGGTAAACTCAAGCAGTCACTGCGTTGCCCTGTGCTGCACCACTCAGGGGCCCCTGACATCTTAACAGACTGTGCCCGGAGGGTCTGCTGTGTGCGAGACAAGGATGCAAGCCCGGCCCAGCAATCAGCTCGTGTGATGTCCTGTCAGGTCCTTAAATCGTTGTTGTCATTAGGTGGCATCGAGGTGGTTTCAGCCCATAGTGGTCCTGTGTGCTACAGAAGGAGATGCCATGTCCCCAATGGTCCTTGTGCTGGAGCCCACGGGGCAGCCACTGTGTCAGCCCATCTTTTCAAAGGACTTCTCCTTGATCTCTGCCCAGCTCCTTAAGCATGATGTCCTTTTCCAGGGACCGGTCTCTCCTGGTAACGTGTCCACAGAACATGAGAGGAAGTCTCGCCGTCCTTGCCTCTCAGGGACATTCTAGCTGCACGTCGTCCAGGACAGTTTATTTGTTCTTTCAGCAGTCGATGGGGCTCTCCAGTTAGGATGCATTCTTATCATCCCCATCGTGTGGAGGAGGAGATCGAGGTGCGGGGGCTTGTGTGCAACCGGATCTCTTGGAATCTGGTTAGAATACAGGTTTTGGCTCGGTGGGCCTGGGAGGGGCCTGAGATCCTACTTTTATCAGGCTCCTTGGTGGTAGTGCTGCTGCTGCGGGTGGTCCCTGAAGTCCATGGAGTAGCAGGGAGGAGGAAGTGAAGCGGTGAGGTCGGGACTTGACCAGAGGTACTCAACCCGCCATCCTTACTTTCCCCATCATCCAGTCCAGCCTCTTGTGCTAGACAGGCTCAGTTTGGACCAACTCCCCCCCAAACAAACTCATTGCCTTTGAGTCTATACTGAGTCACAGTGACCCTGTAGGACAGGGTAGAACTGCTCCTGTGGGTTTCCCTGGCTGCATATCTTTAAAGAAGCAGACGGCCTCATCTTTCCCCCTTGGAGAGGCTGGTGGGTTCAAACCACTAACCTTTCAATTAGCAACTGAACACTTAGCCTGTGCCACCACCAGGGATTCTTGGATGAAAAAGAAACCCTTATATTGTTATCTTCAGTGAAAATTCCAGGTTATTTACCTTGAATGGAAGGTAGGTTAGGAAACATGGGCACTAAGACCATTATTAGATCTAACTGGATGCTGGTTTCTGTTGCCGGATTCAAACCTGCAGCCTTCTCTCTCTCATGCCCGGGCACTGAAGATATATGAGCGCACAACCGAGATCTGCTCCTTGACTCAACCCCAAGGAGGGTAGGAGGCTAGAGAAAGGCATGCATGTCTCAGCTGAGATGCAAACCTAGAGCGACCTCGTATTCCACTGAGAGTCTCTGAAACGGGGTGCACCCACTTTCAAGGCTCAGGAAGTGAATATGGTTAACTGTCAGCCTCTGATGCTGGGAAGAGAATATTTGAGCTCCCAGCGTGATGCCGGCGACCCCTCAGCCTTTGCACATGTCCATGCCTTTTACACATTTTATCGCCACCATGACACTGCGGCAAGAGATCCTGCCCAAACACCCATTTAACAGATGGGGATATTGAGGCCTCCAAAGAGGTTTTCAAACCAGGGCTCCCCGCCCCCCATAATATCGACATTCCACATCCTCCCCATACGGTACCCAGTCCCAGAGCTGAAGCCCAAGTTAGAGTGGTCCAAGGCCTGAGAACTCAGTGTGTGTGCTGATTAATATTGCTTTCCTGTGGACGTGCCAAGAACACGAACTAATCTCGATTTCTATTCGTCATGTGTCAGCGGCAATAACAGTTTTACTGGGCGAGGCTGATAAGCATCAGTCTGCGAGGATGGGAGGGGGCAAAGCCTAAACAGCCCCCTCTAGGACGCTGCAGAGGAAACAAGAGTGCCCAGACGCAGAGCCCACTGGGCCGAGAGCCCCAGTTTTCGCTGTACACCCCCTCCCACCACACACGTGTGGGCAGTTCCTACTGTTTGCTGTCTGTGTTTGAAGGTGGCCGACGTCCCTTGGATGCACGGAGGTGATGCCCGCTCCCCAGGGCCCCCCAGCCTGGGCTGTGTCAGCTCTCCAGGCAGTCCCAGAGGGAACAGAGCCAAGGGGACTTGATGAGGCTCTTGGTTCCCTTCCTCTCTTGATTGACAAGGCACACTCCATCAGATGTCCACCCCACTTCCTGCAAGCCAGTCAGGGGCCTTGATAGGGACATGGCATTCAGGACAATTAAGTGCCACGTGAGCCCCAGGCAGGCGTTTTCTGAGGGCGGCTGTACACAGCTGCCTCCAGCGACATTGCGCACATGCAGGCACTGACGCTGACAGACCAGGCTGGTTCTGAGGGCTGTATCCAAACCGGAGGCTGGGGGCGGGTGGCTGGGCTGCGGGGGCATGTGTGTCTCGGGGCCTATTTATAAGCCTCTGCAGACAATGGGCTTGGGGGATGGTAGCCCCTGCATGGGTTCAGCTCCTGCGGTGCTGGCCTGGATGAGTGCAGGACCTGAGACCTGGGGGTTTACCTTCCCACCCGCTGGTTCCGCTCACCATGCCTCAGTTTCTCCTTCTGTTAGAGTGGCGTTTGGGTGGCATGGTGGCTTATGGGATGGGTTGCTAACAGCCAGGTCAGCAGTTTGAAACCATCAGCAGGCCCTCGGGAGACAGATGGAGGCTCTCTGCTCTCATCAAGAGGGCCAGCCACAGAAACCCCCGGGGCCAGTTCTACCCTGCCCTATAGGGTCACTATGAGTCGGCATTGACTCTTTGGCCATCAGTTCAAGGTCAGATAGGATTTGAAGTGCTCATTAAAGGGTGCTCTAGGTGGTAACTTATGCTTATTATTATTGTGTACTATAGTATTAAAGTATATGAATTAAAATCAACTAATATTATTGATAATATTATGGCACAGAATCCCCTAGCTTGTTTGTTTTTTTTTCAAAATATAATGCCTGTCCCAGTGACAGGTGCTTCTTGGGGACAGCGCTCATACTGTGGCCATCAGTGACACTGGGAGGTAGCACCTGGATGACAAAGATAGGGGCCCTGCCTCAGGGGACCCGCCTTAGGGGACTCACATTCTAGTAGGGAGGGAGATCTCACACACACACACACACACACACACACACACACACACACACACACACACTTACATAGACATACAACAACAAATCAGACACACAACAGC